AGGGACTCCCAGACCCCTTCCTGTAGCAGGTGCGCGTGCATGCCTGCGCGTGTGCTGTTGTCTCTACCCGAGGCCTGGCTGCGTGCCATCCGTGCAAACTCAGGGCTTGGTTTGTATGAAGTTGCTTTCTCTTTTATTTATTTATCTATTCATTTAAAGATTTTGTTTTTAAGTAATCTGTTTATAAGCCTACCCAACATGGGGCTCGAACTTACAACCCGGAGATCAAGAGTTGCAGGCCCTGTCCACCGACTGAGCAAGCTAGGTGCCCGGTTGCTTTCTCTTTTAAACTGTGCTTTCTCCCAAGAGGCACTACACAAAACTGATGCCTTAACTTGAATTATTTAACTAGGTTATTTTCCTCCTGGCGGGGCATGGGAGGCAACTTGTTTAGAATAACAGGGTCTCAAGACCCACTTTATACTCAAAATTGTAGACCCAAAGAGACTTTTCATTTGGGGGTTATATCAATATTTATCATGTTGTAAGTTAAACTGGGAAATTTAAAGAGTATTAGTTCACTTAGTAACATTAGTAAGTCAATTACATGCTAACAGTGACATTTTTAATAAAAAATAACTTCAAAAATTCAGTGAGAAGACTGGCATTATTTGACATGTTTTGCAACTCTCTTTTATCATCTGGCTTAGAAGATAGGTTGGATTCTCATGTTCTGCTTTTACATTTATTCAGTCTGTTACAAGGTGTTATTTTGATGAATGTATGTGAAGGGAAACCATTTTTGCCTCACACATGTAGTTGGGAAAGGGGAGAGTTTTCAGTAGCCTTTTCAGATAATTGTGGACATTATACTTTGATAACACACCAAAACTTACCAAGTGGCGCTTTTCTTAAAGTTGAGTACAATGTGGAATCTTGAAACCATGATGGTGAACTGTTTGAACTTTGTTTCACTAAAATGCACAGGGCTCCCTTGCACTCTGAATGGGTTTTGCGATACTGTATGTTAGTGGAGTTATGTAGATCTGCCAAATGTTGACAGATTTCATGACACAATATCCAAAACATCACTGATCTCATCAGAAAAGTCTTCAAGTATTTGGGAAACTGAGCTCTTGATGTCAGATAGATGTTTTTCAAGGGTCTCCCTTTGGTAGAAAGCTTGGATTTTATCACTGGCAACAACTACTCTAAGTTGTTTCCCTTGAAATACAGGCGCAGTTCATTCCTTTTTGAGCATATACCTGCCATCTGCCCAGCTCTGCATAACCATTGTTTGTCTGTCCATTGTTCTTTCTAGTAACTGGTGTTCCAGGAGAAGCCTTCTAGTTCAGCTCACAGTCTAAACGTGGGGGAGCCGCCTTTCCCAAGACAGCGGAGCGCTTCACGTGTGTCTGCATTTCCTCATACAGAGTGATAAGATGTGTTGTCAAGGGTCGAAGTCTGGCAGAATGAATCCTTTTTGTTGCTTCCTCCAGGATATTAAAAGTGGAAATGGTCTTTTTAAAAAAGCTGCAAGTGTGTGGCGATGCCTGACGTGGAGACCCTTCCTCGCCTGTGCTGAGGCACAGAGTTTTACTTTGGCTCTGCACCGGCCATCACCGCAGAGCTCGGCACCGGCAGAGGGACAGAATGTCGTGGTGTTCTCGTGTCCACGCTGTTGACTTTATGGATCACCTCATGGGGGGACACTTGGGGTCTGCGGGTAGTGCTTTGAGAACCTGGGTGTGGAATCTGACTCTGGAAGCAAAGCCAGTGTGGAGCTCTAGCTCTTCCTCTAATATGTTGGCCGTGGGGTCTGAGGGAGACTGGGCTGCTTTGGTGGATTGTTGTGAGGACTAGATGGGAGGTGCAGTGAAAGCGCGCCTTCTCTGGTGCCTTTATGTAGTCGGCACTGGTCAGGTCCTGTTCCTTTCCTACCCGGGGCGCTGTGAAGGTACTGCGGATTGGGAGACTGGGTGGGGTGGAGAGGTGGAAGGGGTCAGTTTTGCCTTAGTGCATGCCTGGTATCCACAGAAAGGTCTCTTGGCTCTTTTTTCTCACGTGCACTGCAGGGATTTGCAGGGGGAACAGCAGATCTTTCTGAGGCCGTTTGCGGGTGGAGGGGGCTTTGGTTCTCTGGACCTGTCGGTTGTCTGTGTGTGTCCCAACGTAGTTTGAGTTACAGAGCCCACTCTGAAAATTAGCAACGACTTCTGATTACTGTCCTCTCCTGTGCACTGGGTGCTTTTTACAGATAATTCTGGTTCAGCCTAAGAGCGCTCCATGGTGGCAGACCCTAGGGGGCCTTTCATGCCTGGAAAAATAAACTCAAGGATGAGGCGGTTGTGCTCCTAGAGCTTGTGCACTGCTGGGGGTCTGAGTGTTGTCTAAGGCAGAGTTCTCTTTTTTCCCGTACTAAATAAATACCAGGGCAGGATTTTATCACAGCCAAGTGAAATCTGAAATTCTCAAAACCTTATTCACATTAATTTTTAAAAAACTAACATTAATCCAGGATGGCTTGGTTGGTTGGGGACTGCCTTCGGCTCAGGTCTGATCCTGGGGTCCTGGGATTGGGCCCTGTGTCTGTCTCCCTGCTTGGTAGGAGTCTGCGCTTCTCCTTCTTACTCCCCTCCCTGCCACCCACTCACGCTTGCTCTCTCACTTTCTCAAATAAATAAAAATTTTTAAAAAAGGAACATTAATCAGACAGTAGTTTGAACACCGTGACCCAACTTCAAAAAAGGTTATCAGCCCCTGTCCAAGGAAGATCACAGCACGTGTGAAGGCCCCGGCCCTCTAGTTTATCTGGTGTATTTTCCCTATTGCATTGTTCCTGGAGGTGGACAAAGCACGATGGCAGTTTAGCTTTCAGAAGAAGAGTCTGTGGGGCTGACCTGCTCGTCCACTCATTTGTTCCCAGGGTCAAGTGTTGAGCCCACGTGTGTAACAATGCCCCAGGTCCATCCACAGGAGAGGTCTTGCTAACTTGGTGGTGCCAGAAAGGGCAATAGTTGTGTTCCTGGTCCAAAGCCTCCAGCAAGAACTGCTTTTTTGTGAGGGAACTGTGTCTCTGTACCCGAAAGAGTGAAATTCCAGGTGGAGTGATCTTGGGTTTTAAATGACCTTTTGTTCTCTCTGTTGATGGTTTCACTTTGGATTTGCGGTACTCAGAATATCTCTGTTGCTATCTAGACTTGATGTCTTGTGTGTATAAGCCTTGAATTTTTTCTTTTAAAGATTTATTTATTTTAGAGAGCTCACGCCTGATGGGAGGAGGGACAGAGGGAGGGAGAAGCCGACTTCCCTGTGAGTGTGGAGCCCGACGCAGGGCTTGATCTGATGGACCCTGAGATCATGATCTGAGCTGAATCAGGAGTTGGATGCGCAACTGACTGACCTACCCAGGTGCCCCATATAAAGCCAGAATTGAAGAAAGTTTGTATATATACTGATTTTTTCCTGAAGGAGTCTCCCAGTAGAGTGCCCTGTAGCTGAGAGCTCATCAGACGGATGGTGTGGGCGGCAGAACTGCCCGGGTGACTGCGTATACCGAAACACCAAAATCCGGTGTGGTGTGGGATTGCGGTAGACTTTCTCTGTCCCCAGGGTCGAGGGGACACTCGCATTTCTGTGCCGTGTCATGTTTACTTTTATAAGATGTGATGGGGAATGTGAATTTACAGAATGTGCCTCTGTCTCCTGTTGGAGTGACCAGTGTGTGGCGGAAGGGTGCTGGGCTGCCCTTGGCTCTTTCTTGAAGTTTTGCTGCTTGAGCAAGTCATGTCGCTTCGTTTAGCCTCAGGTTCTTCGTTTGTGAACTGGTGTTCAGGACAAACTGAGGTTTAGGACACGTGCCCTTTATCTCCCGCAGGGGGTAGTTGATGGTGAAGCTTTAGGGGAAGCCGTCAGATGGGGCTCAGAGGCCAGAGAACCCTGGTTGGGTGCCTTGCACGGAAGGTGCTGGAGAAGGACAGCACTCGGACTGGTAGAGCACAGGCAAGTCCCTCATGGCGGGCCACCTGCAGGTGAGCAGCCCCTCTTCGTGGTGTGACCTGGGGCAACTTCATTAACCGTCCCGTGCTCCGGTTTACTCGCCTAAAAACAAACAGGCATTAAAATAACCTCCACAGCAGTACCTACCTCTTCACGTTTAGATGTGGTCCTAATAGACCTGCCGTCCGTAGCCAGGTTTCTGGCTCATGGGGGTTGCTGAATCCATGTTAGCGCTTTTCATGATCGGGGCGATAGGAGGCTTTTCCTGTGTGAGAAGAAGGTGTGTGTCAGGGAGCTTAACCAGATGTGTGGTTTAGCCTGCGCCTTGCAGCAGATCGCGTATCTTAAAGCAGCCGCCCCTTAACAAGGGTGTTGGTTTTTAAGGAAGCCAGCAGGAGCGGGAGGTGCCTCAGTGCAGTGGGCGTGACTTGTCTGCGGGGGCTTTTCTGTGCCGTTCCTCTAGGTTCGTGGGGAGGACAGGTGAGGTGTACGCTGGTGGTGGTTTTCCTATGCTGTGAGTGTGCTGGTTGTGAAAATTTCCCAACAACGCATGGGCAAAATTGTATTTGACGCAGTACTTGAATACTTTGATATGGGAAATGGACAAAGAAAACTAAAATGATACCGTCACGTCTAGGATTATTCTAGTTCACTTCTGAAGAGAGCATTTCGCTCTGTTATCTTGAGCAAAAAGGCATGTGATGTTTACACCTGGTTTACCTGGTCTGTAGGGCCTGTGGCCGACCTCTGTGTCAGGTGGGCCGTCGTGAAAGACCCAGGGGCTAGGAGTCAGAAGACCCGACTTCCACACCCAGGTCCCAGCTCTGCCGCTACCTGCTGTTTGACTTGCGGCAAGTCCCCCGACTTCCCAGGATCTCAGGTTTGAGACCTGAAAAGCAGAGAAGATGCCGGGCACCTTGCCCTGCTGGCCTCACCTGGGCTGTTGTCAGGCTCCGGTGAGAATCCTAGTAAAGTGCTGCACAACCGACGCACACGTTTGAGCATAAATGGCTGCTGGCGACCAAACTCTGACCCACCTAATGCAATATTTTCTTTCTCAGTGATGTTGCAGCCTTTCGATTATGACCCCAATGAGAAAAGTAAACACAAGTTTATGGTTCAGTCTATGTTTGCTCCGACTGACACTTCTGATATGGAAGCAGTAGTAAGTACTGAATGCTTCTTACTTTTCTTTAGTAATTAAAATGATTAGGTACAGAATTTTGGGTGCATGCATTTCAAGATGTGTCACAATTGCTTTAAAAGGGGAATGGTGTTTTCAAGGAGGTTTGTACTTTGACTACCTTTATGGTTTTTCTCAAACTTTGATTTTAACATTATGTGTAACTTTCCAGAACACTGCTCTTTTCTGACGTTTCCCTCTCAGTTTGCTTCAGCAGCTGCTTGTTCTGATGGGTTGTGTCTTGAATAGTTTGAGGATTCCTTCCTTTCCTTTATACCCCGCTTCCATCTCCCATAGAAAAGGGTGTTTCTTGGTCTAGGGAATGTCTTTCACCATGTCTCCCTGTACCTGCCCCCATCCCTAAGAGCCCAGAGGGGTGTGAGCGCGCGGGATGCTCAGTGTCCTGCAGCGCTTGAGCGTTTGCTTTTCACTGGGTTCTGGTAAGCAGGATTTTTTTCCCCCTCCCTAGTTTCCCTCTTTTTTTCTCTCCCCTGCTTAAATACATGTTTAACTCTGTCTCTAATTTTGGTAAAAATAAGATAACTTTGTTTTTATAAAATAAATGATACTATATTATTGTTTTTTCTGGGAAAAGATTATAATGGAAATTCTCCTTAAAGTGAGCTTTTTTTTTTTTTAATGTTTGAATAAATCAGCTGGCATTCTGGTGTCTGCAGGAATCACAGTGTACAGATAAACCTTACTGTGCACAGTCCCAGCTAGGACAGAGTGGCCAGTCCTCAAGCTTACAGATGGGAAAAAGAAGGCGGGGCTCCCTCGACACCCACATCACTTTGCAGCTTGCCGGCCCACGCTAGGGGACCGGTCCCCCGGGGAGCACCTGCACATGGGAGTCAGCCGCAGCTCACAAGGCTCTATGGTTTTTCTCTTTCAAAAGTTCTATGCGAGGGGCTTTTTATGCACCGCTTCCCTTCATATCCCAGTGTCACCTCAGCCTTTTCCGTTAGTCTTAGAAAAGCATAAATGACCATCTTTGTGGACGTTCAAGTTTGGGGCAGGAGATGAGGGCGAGCTGGATACTTGGAGATTGAGAGAGACGAGTGACAGTAGGTGACCTTCCCCTTTCATAAGAGTGATCATTGAGGCGTTTACTGCTTTCTCTTTTGTTTCCCAGAACATGAGTGTCACTTCATGTTAATTTGTGTGAGCAAGGAAATGTATGGCAAATACAAAATTTGGAATATCCAGATTGTGTTCTGCTTGGCTTTTGCTGCATGGCTTAGTGACAAGAGCATGGGCTTGGCGTCTTGGGCATGGGGCTGAGCTCTGCCTTGTACTAATGTTGTGGCCTTGGGCAGTTTTCATTAACTCTCTGTAGGGTTGGGTCACCTGTAAAAGGGGGTTAAAAACCTGGTTTTTAACATTGTTGTGGGAATTAGTGTGCTCTGTGTGTCGAGCACCTGGCACGGTGTCCAGAGTGCAGTGGATCTGAGTGCTGCTGTGGTCCAGGCCTCTGTATACAATAAAGATGAATTTCACTCCTTTTATGATAATTTGTGTAACAGTTAAAATTTTTTATATAAATGTACATTGGAGGAGATTTTGGAGATATACAAATAAGCAAAAATAAAACTAAAAGTGACCTATAATTTGTTTATACTAGACCTAACCATTGTCGTTAGAGCCTCATGCTATTTCTTTATTTTAAACTGTTTTTTGGTATTTTGATATACAGAAAGCAGAAAAAATTATGCAGTGACAATTCCTATAACCTTTACCTAGATTCACCATTGAACACTTTGCCACATTTGCTTCATTTCCGTCATAAACTTTCTTTTTTTTTGCCGAAGCACTTAACTCTTAAGACACAGACTTCATGACACTTACTCCCTACACCCTTCAGAACAAGGACAGTGTCTTACATAGTCCCAGCACTGTCCTCATAGCTGGGAAAGTTGACATTCATCCAGTCACACGATCTAACAGGGAAACCTGTATGCAGCATTTTCCAGTTGCTTCAAAATGACCATTAGTTGTTACTCTATTGGAGTGTAATACCCTTACCCCTTGTGTTTTTCATGACTTTGAATATTTTGAGTCCAGGCCAGTTCTGGGATTGTCTGGTTATTTCCTCATGATTAAATTCAGGTTAAATGTTTTTGGCAAGAACATTCCGTAAGTAATGTCATTGTGTGCATCGCATCAGAAGGCATTTAGTACCGGGTTGTCCCTCTGTTGACGATGCTAAGTTGGATTACTTGGTTAAGATGGTGACTGCCAACTTTCTGGTGTCAAGGCGCAACTGCCCCTTGTGGTTAATAGGTCACCTGTGGTGCTCCGGAGTGATTGGGTACTTGGAGAGCACGGGAATGTCCCGCTCACTAGCAGTCGCACCTGGTGGTTTTGGTCTGGTGATGAGCCTTGCTTAATGTTCTTTGGACACACGCACACAGGCACACAGATGCTCGTGTGTGTGTCCACAGAACAGACTAAGATATTGTCTGCGGCTTCCTTCCTTAGGATTCTGAGCATTTTCTCCGTGTACTGTTCAGTGTCATTTGAGCGGCACGCTAGCCACGGAAGGGGTCTGCCGGGGCTTGTTTGGCAGTCCCGTTGTTCGCCGCGCAGACGGTCTCCTGGTTTCGGCTCTTGGTACCCGCGTTGCGCTGGCTGCCTCCTGCATGGTCCTGGGCAAGGGCGGGAAGAGGTGGTTCTTGTTTTCCGCATTGTAACCTTCCTGCTATGCTGGTCTGCAGTTGTTGGCGTACCCTGGGATTCCTGCCCTCCGCTGCCCAGAGGAGGAGGATTAAGCCAGGAGTACGTGCTCCCGGAGCCTGGATTTAGCCAGGAGGGTGTCCCCACTAGCAGGCTGGAGGGAGTGGGGGTCAGCCCAGACAGCGGCGTGCTCCGGGATGTGCCCTGTTAGTAGTTGGCAGTGAAGTTCTCAAACCACTCCCCCGTGGTATACGCTTACTCTAAGAGGGGTGCACCCCGCAGAGTAAGTTTTATTTTCCTAAGGAGAGCCAGAGTTACCTCTGACCGCTCAGACATAATTTAGAAAATTCCTCTTCCTTCAGCGGTGGTTGTCTCTGTTCCATGTGCTTCCCACAGACTAGCAACAAGAGCAGCACTGGTTGGCTTGGAGGAATCAGGCAGCAGAGCTGGGGTTCGTGAAGTGTAATAAATATTCAGGAAAGCTACTGTATTTAATCTTGTCCTGTTAAAAATATTGAAATCTCAGACGTAAGTTCTTTATTTGATATACACCCGGGCTTTCTCATTAAGAATTATTTTTTTGAAATTGTCAGTTATAGGAAGAAAATTATTCTTCCAGCAGCTTTATAATATCCTGATTATTAAATTTAAATTGTTTTAGTGGAAGGAGGCAAAACCGGAAGACCTTATGGATTCAAAACTTAGATGTGTGTTTGAATTGCCGGCAGAAAATGATAAACCAGTAAGTATGTTTATCGGTAACAATAATGGGATGTTACAAGCTGATACTCATTTGCATACCATCTCCTGCAAAACCAGGATTTAAGTTGGCAAATTATTTTCCTACTTCTGATGTCTGATGAAAAAAATAAGCTGAAGTCAACAAATAAGGGGCCTTCATGAAATCAGCCTCTGAGAGACTGGTGGAAAGACAACTAATTGAAACGATTTATTTTCTTGGGAAGTGCAACCTGTTGGCTGGTGAAATGTCATAAATCCTGAAGAGCTTCTCTGACTTGGCAAAGTTATAGGTTGCTGTAAAGAGTGGGTAAGTCCACAGCAGGGAGTGATTTTGCCGTTTATCACGGGGCTTGACGGACAGGTGGTAAGCTCTCGGGTTCTCTGGTTTCACAGACTGCTGTCCTAGGTCTCCTGTCTGCTCTTTCCCCTAACGCCACCCCCTTAACCCTCCTGCCTCTTTCATTAAACCTGCTTTTAGATTAGGGTTTCTCAACCTCAGCACTGTTAACACTGGGGCCGTCTCGGGCCATGTGGGATGTTGAGCAGCAACCCTGGCCTCTCCTCACTGGATGGATAACCGGTCATCACCCATCTTGCGTGACAACCAAAACTGTCCCCAGACGTTGCCCGGGGTGCGCTGGTGGGGGCAGAACCGCCTCCCGCTGGGAGGCCCCCCATCCCCGTGCTGCCGGAGGGGCTGAAGGCAAGAACCAGCTGCCCCCGAGCTGTCCGCTCGCTTTTCTCTGTGAAGCCACGGGGCAGACCTCTCATGGCCCTTGCTCATGACCTGTTGCGAGAGCAGATTGTATCTGAAATGCTGATTTGGACCTTCCTTCAGCCTAGTCAGAAGAGCTTAAATTGTTTTAAAAAGCCACCCTGCAGAAAGTCCCACTACCCCGGCCGTTAGTCGCCGGAGTTGGGAAATGGAAACGCTCGCGTTCTGTGAGCATCGTCCGTAGCGGTCTGCAGGAAGGCTGCTGGCGTGTGCCTCTGCTGCTCAGTGTTTCCTTCCTGCTCGGCGACTGACCGCCGTCCTGATCCCGCCTCTTTGAATGGGTAATGGGGGTTTTTTGTTGCCGATTTTGTCTCTTCCCATTGCACATTTTGTCCCGGGAAGGTCATTTGGGGAACCTATGAGACCTGTGCTCTGTTCCTGGCTCTGTGCGGTACCAGCTCTGTAGATGGGGGCCTCGCCCTTTGCGGGGCTCCCTTCTCACCTGGAAGAGGAAGGGTCAAGCCCAAGAGTGCGATAGGGAGAGCCGGTCGTTGTCTGTGAGCTGTGTGGGACCCCCAGGCCAGTGATCCCCAGCACACCTGACCACCGCATGCCCTCCCGGGTACCGGCTCCTCCGCGCTCACTCTCCAGAGACGGTCATAACTGTCTCAGAAGCGAAGTGGGGGTGTGCGGCCCCCGCAGTTGAGGTATTGCAGACACGGAGCTGGTTTCACCTTCAGCCCGGCCTCAAGTTCTGACTTGGTGAAATTAATCGCCCTCTGTGGAATGTCCTCCCTGGCTTCCCGCCTCCCCGTCCGGGCCCGTCCTGGGGGTGTCGAGGTCTTCCTGGTGACAGTGATTTGTGGCCAATAACTCCTGAGCTTGCACGATTACGATATGCTGATTTTGGCAAGGCAGGAACTCGATAGTGCAGTACGCACAGCCCTTTTTCTCTTCCTTTGCAGTATTAGTCTCAGCCGAGCTTCATTATTTGCCCTTATCCATAATTTCTGGGGCCCAGTTGCTTTAGATTATTAAGATACGAGATAAAGTGATCCATTTTTAAAACAAATGTGGCATGTTACAGTGTGGATGAAACGCTACCACGTGTGGTGTTTGCTGAGAACTACTTTACTTTGCATAAAAAAGTCCTTTATTACATAGTTGGTGACACTTGGGCTTTCATTTATTTCTGAACAGCATGATGTAGAAATAAATAAAATTATACCCACAACTGCATCAAAGACAGAAACACCAACGGTGTCTAAAGCTCTGAGCTCTTCTTTGGATGACACCGAAGTGAAGAAGGTGATGGAGGAGTGTAAGAGGCTGCAGGGGGAGGTGCAGAGGCTCCGGGAGGAGAACAAGCAGTTCAAGGTAATGGCATCTTTTCTTTTCCTCAAGATTTTATTCTTTTAAGTAACCTCCACGCCGAGCACGGGGCTTGAACTCACAAGCCTGACAGCAAGAGTCACATGCTCTACAGACCGGGCCAGCCAGGCGCCGCGGTGGCGTTTCATTTCCTGCTCGTCTACAGAAAACAGGGGCTTTTCTGCTGTGATCTTGGGTGGGGAAGTTGACCCATCCCTGGTTTTGTAGAATTGTTTTGTATTTCCACATTCTTTCCCTAGGGAGAAATTTCTGTGGCTTTCATCAAGTTCTGAAAGAGCTCTGACACATCTTCCCACCCCCCCCCCCCCCCTGTCCCTTAATTGACAACCATTGTCCCTGAGCAGAAGTTTCTGAACTATTTAAATTCTTGTTCCCTGGTACTTGACATGTTATAATTCATTTAATCTCCTAAACCCTTCTGTGAGGTAGGGATTCTTACCATCCCCAATTACAGATGAAGAGACTGAGGAACAGAGAGGTTAAGTGACAGGCAGGGCACACTTGCCATGGGAAATGAACCCAGGCTTTGTGCCTCAGAGTCCACATCCATCCCATTCTCCTCCTCAGTGTGCAGACTCTCGTCCTCTTGTAAGGAAACAGAGCCCCTCTTGCCCTCCCATGAGTGTAAACTGAAGACGAACTCTGAGATTAAACACAAAATAGCAGTGGTTACCTTGAATTCACAGTGTCAAACCCTGCTCCAGCCCAGGTGGGTGAGAATCTTTCCTCAGTAGAGGAAATAGGTAAATACCGACCTGTACTCCTTTAACACAGGCATGATTCTGGTCTTTGAGGATTCTCGGTGGGTCTGGGCAGTGGGGTCTCCTCAGACTGGTCACACGATGATGAGATTAGAGATGGGAAGTCGTCACAGTCGACAGGTGAAGATGACAGAAGGAGAAATGCGAGTCTCCAGCTTGTGGACGTCGACGAGGCTGTGGGCGCTGGTGTTAGAAGGTCAGGTTGCGCTGGGTGGTGAAGGCGAGCCGCACTTCATTTGGCCTTGGCGGCCTGAGATGCTGTGCCAGTGACTGTCCACACTTGACTGGCTTTGAGTCTGCGGTGGTCACAGCGTCTCCTGGGCCCCCGCTCGCAAAACATGCTGAAGGCCCCTTCCAGCTTTAAAAGTATGTCTGTTTCAGACAAGGTCTTGAAGAGAATGTTTCCGAACATCTAGTCGTAGGAACTTCTGTTGCAGCTTAACTCTGAGGCTGGTCTGGTCCCTTCTTCTCGATCATGCCACTCACCATGCCCTGGGCTTCTGCTCTTTAACCACCAAAGCACCAGACACACGTAATAAATACATCCCGCTCGGGTGACTTCTTCTTTTATTCTGACCGTGCCGTCGATACAGGAGAATCAACAGTGTCTGGAGAATGGCATCATCTTCTTTCTTTGCAGTAATCTTAATTTGCCTCCTTCAGTAACTTCTTTTAGTATGGAGTAAATTATGAAGCTGCCACTTTACTTTTTGGCTAAAAATCCAAGATATGCCTAAAGCTTCTCCTTGAGTGTATTTCTCTTCAGAAACAGAGTCCTGTGCTGTTTAAAGTGATAAATAGGTAGAAATAGCTTCTATATAAACCCAATAAAATAAATGCTGTATTTTGCTCTGCCCATTTTTTTTTTGGAAGTTAATCGAATAACATCGGTCGTTTATCACTATGCAGCGATATTGGCCATGCCCCATGAGCAGAATATCTTTAAAATATTACCAGACTAGTCTTGACAATAGAAGATTCTTTATCCTGCCCGACACTGATTTCTTGTTTCGTGTTGTTTCGTTCTTTCATTTGACCAGCACATCTCCCGAGGCCCTCCCCTGTTCTCGGCGCTGTGGGCGCGAACACGAGCTGTCCCTGCCGCTGAGGAGCTCTTTGCTGACTAGGGTCACTGGGGACGCAAATACTGACGACCTGAGTGATGAGTGGCCCCACAGAGACGGCCACAAGTGCCATGGAGCCTCAGCTCGATGGGCTGGCTGCCTGTTTTTTGCAGGACTGACAAGTGTGGGGACGAATAGATGGGGTAGTTAGCCAGAGATGCCCCTGAGCCCGAGCAGAGAGGCCTTGCTGCGCGCCATGTTGAGGAGTGTGGACTTGGCCTTGGGAGCAGTAAAGGAGGAGAAGGTTCCTATTCCATGCATTAAGTAGGCAATGTCCGAGATGCATAGATCAGCTTCAGTCACATTCTAATATTCCACTTACCATGTCTTCTGCACAGCAGTCTGCACGTAACTCATTGATACAGAGCTCTGCATTTGAAAACTTCTGGGCCTCCCACCTTGTAGCTTCTTGCGATTTTTATGCTTGTGCTTTGGGAAGTGCCTGTCATCTGAAAACCTTTGACTTGGTAAA